CACCACACCACTTCGTGGTGTCGGTGAACCCATAATGAATTTCTTTAATGGAATGTTACTAAGTAGAGGTAGAAACACCGTAGAAATCCGGCTATCGCGGGCGCTACCGGAGGTTACAATTAAAATAAATGATGCCGATGTTCGGAGTGTTGCAGCAGAATGTCCTAATTAAGTATTCCTGACGATACGTTTGCCATTTGTAGCAGTGTTTTTTATGTCAATACTTAAATATAAAAAATGTGGAATGCTTGTGGACAGTTTCAACTTGTAAACAAGTGTAAACAAATGCCCCGCCCCCTCAGTTAATTTTCGCGACGTGTTCCATAACTTAATTAATTTTCGCGACCCGGCCCTTCCCAACTGGACGGCCTCTCAGGATCTCTCAGCTGCAGTCTGGCGGAAACACTGTCAGTGACAATATATTACTTGAAAATTTCCTTCGAGTTCATTACACTCAATACATTTACAATTTATCATTTGGTGTCTGAACATAGCCATAATCGCGTTGAAAAAGGGGGCGTCAAAACATAGGGCTGTAGTAACATAGGGCTGTCGTAACATAAGGCTGTCGTAACATAGGGCTGTCGTAACATAGGGCTGTCGTAACATAGGGCTGTCGTAACATAGGGCTGTCGTAACATAGGGCCGACCCCGTTGACGCTTGGGATTGTTTTTGTTGCAATATATAAAACTTCACGGAGGATTGTCACCTATGGCTTCTTGTTTAAGTATTGCAGCTGTTTCGAAGTTAAAGTCAGGGTTGTCTCCGTTGTAATTGGGCATGCTGTGTGCCGGTATGTCCATGTTGATGCAAGCTGTTTTCTTTTTACCGTTACGATAGGAGTTTTAAAATATTAGTAAATGCATATTTTAGGAACTCCCCTATTTCTATAATCGTGTGGAATAGACCATAGCTGCGTGGTAAGCGAGGTGCTGTATTGTACCCTAAGCAGTTATTGGATGGCTTTTGTGTGCTCATTTGCGAGTATCTGTTGGGATATTGTGACTTACACTTTGCACCTACTGCGAGTTTGTAGAAAATAAATAAATGATATGCATTATTATTATTATAAAATGAAATATACTGTTATTGAACATGGCTTTGTTCATCTGTTTAGTAGTTTGTGGTGTTGTTGATCTTACGTAGCCCGTATAGTACAATCTTCTGTGAAGTTTTATATTTTGCAGATTAGGAACAGTATCCCCCTGAGCATGCCGCACACCACGTCCTGCCACGTCCCTTGCTGCTTGACCCACGCCCTCACGGCCTCACCTCGAGCACGACCCTGGCCTCTAACCCTGAGCGCGACCTTGGCCATTTGTAGTTCCCCGGCCAATGTCAAGTTCCCCGCGTTCAGGTTCTGCGCGAGGTCGAGCTCCCCTTCTGCGGACACGATCCTGTTCTTCCTCGTAATCGCTGTCAAGTTTCACTACTCTCTTCGGAATCCTCATCTGACGTGGGGTATTTACTGCCAGAATCGGCAGTTGCAGCGTCTTCCAACACTTGTCCAATCGTGTACGTCGCCATTTCGACGATAACACTACGAATCCCCCGCTAAAAACTCAAACAAACAAGAGTTCCGAGATCTCATACCTCCATAAAATATGGGCTTGATATGTAAATGTAAATTTCTTCTTTAATTACGCAAATGACCTCTGCATTAACATAATATATGCATCGTGATGTTAACTTTTGATTAACTTAAAGATGTCCCAAGTATGACATTCCCATCATTTACCATTGAGAAATCATTGATTTTTTTGTATTAATTATGCAAATTAGGTCATCATTTGCATAATTAGTATCTGTTGATGTTCCATCTGCCATAGGTTACATACATTACATGTATGAAAGTTCTATAATGTAAAACACTGTAATTATAGAATTTCCTCATTAATTATGCAAATAAAGTCCTCATTTGCATAATTTGCAGTTAATTATGTACATCTCTCTGTCAGATACCTACACACCAAAAATGATGAAAATTCGGTGTTCCTATCTGGACTTATTGGCTTTTAAAGATTTCGCCCGAAAGTCCCCTGCAGTTCCTGAACAAGCTGCTAGGGGGACCAAACCCACACCACTTATTCCTGACAGGAAAAGCTATCTGTCACCAAAAATTCAAGACCATAGCATGTTCAGGACCAAAGATACAAAAACCGGAAGTTCTGCTGCAGTACCAAGGTCATCCACCAGGAGGCCCATATTTGACCTTGACCTTTGTCTTCCTAAGACTTATCAGCATACCAAATATCATTACAATCCATAAAGGTGTTATGAAGTTATGCTGACTACAAAGTTGCGGAAACACACACAGACACACACACACACAGACACACACACAGACACACAGACAGACACCGCCAAAAACAATACCTCCATTTTTCATGGAGGCAATAACAAATCACATTGCGTAATGTTGACCTCTGACCTCCCCACACTTGCCCCGCAGCCGCGTCTGCAAGCTACTTCCGGGTGCTCTAGCCGGGCAAAAACACTGTCACAACATTATAGGGATGTTTCTAAAGTATGCATTTACTTCAATATAGAAACTGCTAAAGACGTGCATCTTAACGGACATAATCGTACCACTTGCCCAATTACACAGAAATGCTACGTACAGAACAATGCGTTTTGGTTGCGAACATCTTCCAAAAAAACCTTAATTAAGCACGGGCAAAAAACATCTGGTACCATTAATTGACCCCTCCCTACATCTGTCTGAAGTCTAAACGACCCCCCCGCTATTCCAAACAACAGGTTTTCCTGGACCATTCCAATTTGCCTCATAATTGTAGGGGTGTATCTGAAATATTACACTGACCACAAAACAGCAACGGCAAAAATACACATATTCTTGCATCATCATGGGAATGCCAGCGGACGGCGTATAAAGCTGTGTGCCGATTACACAAAAGGAACCCTGTGTTCTAGCTGCGGACACACACACACAAAAAACGGATGTTCAAAACACTCCGTCCGGACGTGCATCATCTACAATCCAATAGCAAAACATATACTGAGTCCCCAAAAAATCCGTCCACCCAAAATGCGAGAAACAGCAGCGAACATGAAAACCTAAATCTCTTACAAATCCCTTCCGCAGAAGGATGTCTCCTTCCCCGGAGGTAAATAAGTAATAAGTAGAAAAATAAAAGGTAAATAAAAGACACTATAGTCTAAGCATTTGGTGTCATTCGGACAAAAAATTAAGAAAGTTAATGCATTTAACGAAATGGCAGGAGAAGAAGAACAAGAAGAAGAAGATAGAAAGCAATATGTCTTCAGCCATAAATAGTGATCCTTGGGTTCTTCGTAAGAGGATTCTTCGTTGGTTACCCTGTCTCCCCATGCCACACATATCCTAGTGTTGTTGTTCCACATATTGCCAAATGAATTATTTTCCATATACATTAATATCTTTGCATTACAATGTCAATGATAAAAAGAAATATTAGTGGCGATAAGGCGCACTATGACGAACACCGAAAACAATTCTGAAGTATGTTGTGAAATCGTTCGGTCTGATATACGATCGTTGTCATTTGAAACGGCCGATGCCATATGACAGAATGCGGCGTCATAAGTCTGATGTTTCGTGGTGTAAAGGGTGAGGGTTTTAGGATTAGGCTTTTTTACCCGGTTTGAATCAGAGCTTGTGCTCTTTCGTTTTTCACTAATATATGTCTTGTACTATTTTTCATGATGGTGTCGTATATTTGCAGTCATGGTGATTGTTCTTTTCACACATTTGATACGTCCCCCCCCCCTTAAAATGTTAGGACTGGTTCGGATATGTCATCGATCATTCAGCGACATAACAGCGACCGTTTCAAATGGCATCGATTGTTTGCGAGACGAAAACCCGTCCATGCTAAGGCCACACCAATTTAATTTGTTGGTTCTCGGATTCGCCTCTTCGTTTTTTCCTGATTTGCAAAAAAAAAAAAAATTGATTCTGGTCCTGAATCAACTAAAAAATGCTCATGTTTTGCCCCCAACAGTTGAGGAAAGTCCTTTTCTTCCTAGTTGTAACAGTTTTCCCATCTATCATAGCAGTGGTTTGATTAAAAGTTCAAAATTCAATGTTTAAATTTTAAATTTTAACCCAGCCTTTTGTGTTGACTTCATGGCTCATTCCATAGCATTTAAGCCTATAATAGGATGCCTAGACCTGTTTTTATTTTTATTTTTTTTTCGCCCTGTCGCTTCATATTTTTTTGAAAAAATCCGAGAACCAACAAATTAAATTGGTGTGGCCTAAACTGGAT